GGTTGTCGGAGCCTGTGCGTACTTGTAAGCGCGGCAATGGCGGAGGAGCACGGCTAAAAAACTTATTACTTTTTCTGGGTCACAAAATAAACTTTTAAGATATTTTCAGGCAAGAATGTAGCTGTGTAAAGTTCAAATATCTGTTCGATTTACCAAGACATCACATATTTGCAAAAATGCTCCGACGTTTTCGGAGACATCCATTTTTTTCATGCTTTGTGGCAGCTTTTGAACATCTGTGGCATCTATTAATGTCAAATCTAGCCTTTATTTAACAACATAAGCAAACTCTATGTTAGAATGATTGCACAGCCATTAAGGATCAAACCAGTTTCTGAAAAATGTTCTGCTTTTTCTCCCTCTGCTTGCTTCTTACTGTCTTTGAGGCTCAGGACCAGCACTCCTGCTGTTGGACAGAAAGACATCAACTCAGTGGTAAGTATTGCAGTTTTCCAATATATTAGCAACTGTCAGTGACATTTATATTAATCAGGCTGAACTTTAATCATACTTTAGATCAGCCTGTTTTACTTATTGTTTTATTTGTGCTTTGGTTTGGGGAAGTTGTTTCTGTACTGATCTTTTCTTGCCTTCTGTTATTAGACTTGAGATATGACTGCACGATGCTGTTGCTGGTGACTCCAGTTAATCCTACAAGACATGATGTGTAAGTAAACAAACAACAACAGTTTGGTCTGCATTTCTTGAAAGATCACATCCCCCAAACTTAGTTTAGAGGGTCTACACTGTATATAGTGAATTCTGCAGGTTTACTAACAGCAAAATTTGTTTTGTGCCCAAATCATTTTGCACATCATTAGAATGAAAGTTATTGGCCATGTTTGCATAGCCCTTTTTAAAATGATGCTTTCATGACATTATTGTGTGTTGGGTGGTGGTCACGGCTATCCAGACTGACAAGTGGGACATTGAATGTCACCTCTCTGGTGGGGAGGGACCCTGAGATTGTCCAAATTGGAGTCTGTTTTATACCAAATGCAGAAAAAAATGTTTTAAGAAAGCAATTAAGTTCATGTTCCAAAAATATGATTGTTTGCTTGCAGGACAACAGGAGAGATGAGTCCTCCGTCACAGATGGTGTGATCAGTGAAGATGGTCGCCTTCAGGTTCAAGCTCATAGCATCTCCAACCCACATCCACTGCCACTGTACTTAAGGGAAGTTAAAGACTTT